AGTGGACACAGTGGGGGAGATTTATTAAACTGGTGCACTCAAAATCTGGCACAGTTGTGCATGGTAGCCAATCAGCTTCTAACTTCAGCTTGTTCATTTAATCTTTGGCAATAAAACTTGGAATCTGATTGTTCTTTCTGCAGAGTTGCATCAGATTTTGCACCTTGCAGTTTTAGTAAATAACCCCTAGTGACTTAACTCCCACAACCCACAACAAAAATTTTTTCCTCGGCATATTGTTTGCAACTAAGGCTACTTTTACACTGATCTGCAACAAAAACACAGCAAAAATGCATAGGCCATGCTTTCAGAACATTTTTTAACCACTTCACGTCTGGACACTTTTACCCCCTTCCTGTCCAGGCCAATTTTCAACTTTCAGTGCTATCACACTTTGAATGACAATTGCACTGTCATGCAACACTGTACCCATATGAATTTTGTAGCATTTTTTTGAGACAGATAAAACTTTGTTTAGGTTGTATTTATTCACCACTGGGATTTTTATTTTTTTTGCTATATAAATGAAAAAATAAGTGTTTTGCTTATAAAATTTAGCAAATAAATATTCTTTCTTCATAAATCTTGGCCAAAATGTATTCAGTTATCTTTTTAGTAAAAAAAAAAATAACCCAAATTAGTTTATAACCAAAAATTATAATTTTTCTTAATTTTATTTTCATTTTTATTTTATTTTTTATATTATTATTTATGTTTTTTTTTGTTTTTTTTTTAACATACTCTCACCCTAGCAGTACAATATCACCATAGTGACACTGTACTACTTGTGGGGGGGTGATTAAGATTTTTTTTATTTTTTTACACTGATTGCTTTTACACCAATAAAGGCTGTAAAAGCAATCATTTCTCCTTCTCGATGGCTGCATCTTGCAGCCATTGAGAAATACTGTGTGAGCTGTGATTGTTCACAGCTTGTCACATAGTACAAGGCTGTTGTGAATAGCCTTGTACCATGTGATCTCTGTGATCATTCACTGACAGGGGCGGACTGACCATTTGGAAACTCGGGCACTGCCTGAGGGCCCGGGGTCAGTAGGGGGCCCCATGAGATGCCCCTGGTACCTTTTTCATAGGCTTTTTTGAGTTTGGGCAATGACACAGGGGCCCCATGATCCCCTATTGCCCAGGGGCCCCATGAGTTGTCAGTCCGCCCCTGTTCACTGATTTCACACGTAGTAAGCAATGATGTCAGAAGTGACATCTTGCTTACTACTATTCAAATGATCACTGATTGGCCAATCAGTGATCACATGATCGGGACCTCACACAGAGGCCCTGTACAACAATCGGTGTTCCAATGTGTCCGGAGAACACAGCGGGCACCGGATCGCGGTGCTGCGCACTCCCAGGGAGTGCGCACAAGCAGGGAGTGGGGAGGACATTTATAAACAGCCACCCGACCCTGCACTGCTCCCATCCGGCCGTTTATATACATGGCCTGGACGGGAAGTGGTTAAAGGACACGTGACTAAAAACTGAACAAAGACCACTTCTCAGAGGCTTTTTTGAAATGCTTTTGAGACGCTTTTGAGGCGTTTTTAGGTGTTTTCCATTTATTTCAATGGGAAGAGGCATCTTGAGGCATTTTTTTTTTAACGCAACAAACATGTCCCAAAGATGCTGCAAGCAGGAGTTTTTACACCGCAACAGAAGTGAAACGCCCCAGTGTGAAAACATACATAGACATACATAGGAAAGGGATTTTTCTTGAGCCTTTGAGGCGCTTTTTGTAATGCAAAAGCACTTCAAAAACTCCTCAAAGTGTGAAAGTAGCCTTAAAAAACACCCCAAAACACCTCTTTTTACAGGAAAATGCCTGTAAAATGCCTGAAAAGCACCTGGTGTTGCACATGCGGTGCGGTGTTAAAACTGCTTGCAGCATCTTTGGGGCATGTTTGGTGAGTTAAACAAAATGCCCCAAAAACGCCTCTTCCCATTGAAAGCAATGGAAAAATGCCTGAAAAGCACCTAAAAAATGCCTCCGAGAACCGTTTTTTGGTGCAGTTTTTTAAGGCATGTCTCCTTTAAAAAATGCTCAGAAAGTGTGGCAAAAGCGTGGTAAAAATACCTGTGCATTTTTGCTGTGTTTTTGCGTCAGATCAGTGTGAAAGTAGCCTAACTGAACAAACATGCTCCAAAGATGAGGTGCTTTTAAGGCGCTTTCAGGCATTTTCCATTGATTTAATTTTGGGGCTTTTTTTTTTAACTCAACAAACATGTTGCAAAGATGCTGCAAGCAGGAATTTTTAAACCGCAACAGAAGTGCAACGCCCCAGTGTGAAAACATATATAGACATACATAGGGAAGCATTTTTCTTGAGCTTTTCAGGTGCTTTTTTTTTAACGCAAAAGCGCTTCAAAAACTCCATAGCCTAAATGACAGGCGAACCACAAAAGAATACCTGTCACAAAACCCAAAGCTAAATAAATGCTTTATAACTACACAACAATATTTTGCTATTTTGATCTCTACTTTATATGTTTTTAGGAAAGAAGACTTGAAGTTTATGACATACTAGGGTATATTGATTAATAAGTTGACCCTAAAAGGCAGGTCTACTGACAACTCTTGTCACCACAATTCAGAGTCACATTTTAAAATGTATATTAGTGAATTTAATGAAAACTAAATGTAGCTACAATGGAACAACTATCAGCAGTTTTATCCTTCTTTAAAATGTTTTCTGATATGTTTGGCTGTTCAGTATTCATTTCATCATATAACAAGACTAACTGTCACAGGGGTTATTTACTAAAGCTGGAGAGTTTAAAATCTGGTGCAGTTCTGCATAGAAACCAATCAGCTTCCAGGTTTTACTGCCAACGCCTAATTGAACAAGCTGAAGTTAGAAGCTGATTGGTTACCATACACAGTTGCCCCGGATTCTGAGTGCACCAGTTTTAGTAAATCTTCCCTACTGTGTTTATTTGCTTGTAGTTGTACTGTTACCATCTTTGCAAGGTTTCTACAAGCTATTCATTTTCATTTTGTGCTCTACTTCTGCTATCGCTGAAGCTACTGTTTATATTTCTATCATTCTGCATGTTTCCAAAAAACATATTACTGTAATGTCATGAGAACGGTAGGAAATGTCATGAAATATTTATTCTCTCTATCCAACAGCACAGCCAAAACATGTTCCTGTTATTCTGCATTGAGTGCGGAAGGGTCAGATATCCTGTTTAGTTTATATTGCTGACCCTTTTGAGGAAATTCCCTTTTTTATCTCCAGCCCCAGTAACCATACAGCAAGTGGGAAGAATCTTACCAATGGAGACACAAACTGAAAGTGTGTCCCTAATGGGAATATTACTCTTCACTTCTTGTCCTTAAAGTGTTACTAAACACAGGACCCTGCATTCACTATATCTGCTCTACCCCAGTACACAGAACATGAAAATGCAATTATCTTAGTAAATATAAACTGCTAAATACTTTTTTCTCATCAGCAGTTAAAGCAGTCTTGTGACTTCTATCAGTGTCCAGCAGAGCACTGGTTAAAGCTTGTAGGAACAGTTTTCATTCTGCCCTAGGAGGATGCAGAACCCCTGACCTCTGTCTGGACAGTGCTGATTGGCCCTGTGCTGATCACATGCACTCTCCCAAGAAAAAAAAAAAAAAACCTCTTTAGCAATACACACCAAACTGAGCATGTGCAGAGTGACTCCACATGCTATGTCTTATCAGGAGATAAGAGGGGGACACTGGAAGAAGGGGAGGATCAGAGAAGACAAGGTCAAACAGCATTTTTACACAATGCAGAGGATGAACCCCTTAGGTTCCACAGTGAGTATAACAAGCATGTTTTACTGCATATACAGACTGATTTTACTGTTGTGGGTTTAGTAACACTTTAAGACTGCATGGGAAAATAATCTGGCAACTAAGCAGTTCCCACTTATTTAAAAAATAACAAAACCATGTTGACTAAAGTGCCTTTTTAAATCCAAAATCCTAGTTCAGGACCATTACTTTTGTTTCTTGTTGGGCAGGTGAGCATGAAATGGCATAATATTTAGCATGCGCACTCTTTAGAATTTGGTACAGTTCCTCCAGTAGTTTTCTCCTTTTATTTCTTTCAGTTTAGTGGAGATCTATCTCTACATAACTACAAAGAACAGGGATGTACATTCCCACGCATCAGTGCCACTAGGCTATATAATAATTTTTTTTTTCATTATGTTAAAAATGTACCAACTGTATATGTGCTTTTATTCACAAGGGGTACTGAGACCCCAAAAGACTCTCAACATCCCAAGATTGCTTGTATCTGGGTTAAAGGGCTCTTTATCCAATGGTCAAGATAAGTATATATCTGCACATAACAGCTTCTGGGCTTAATTAACAATATTACAGACATATACAGGGGCTACATAATTTTAGCAAAATTTTATGAAAGAAAGCTACAGCTCTAAACTATGGATACAGTGACTACTTCCTAGCCCAGCCCAGTCCAGTCCAGCAAACCAAATGTTCCAGCCTTTGCCAAGTTGCACTCTGTGCTTATCATCTCTTCGAGACCAAAGGAGCCCACTTACTGAGAGAAATATGGGAATCAGTGCCACCTTCAATAACCATGTGTTATACCATCTGTCTTTGTCAGGAAGCCACAGGGCAGCTACATTATGTTGTCATGTCAAGTGTAGTTGTCTTCTGTTTTCTTCCATTTTACATTGTACACTATTTTATTCATAATGACATAGTTGGTAACGTTGAATAAAGACACCAGTCCAAGTTCAACCTCTGTGTATGTGGGTATGTTTATGTCAAAAGTCCTTTCCCATATCCCTGTATTTGAAACTATCAATACTTCCCGCTAATACTACTGATTGTGAAAGTGAGTTCCACATCCTTACCGCCCTGACAGTGAAAAACCTCCTACACAGTTTTAGGCTAAACCGCTTCTCCTCCAATTTCATTGAGTGGCCACGTGTCTTCCTATACTCCCTAAGGCTGAATAGTTTATTTCCTATGGTAGCATCACCACTGAGGTATTTGCATATCGCCAGGGGCGGACTGACAACTCATGGGGCCCCCAGGCAATAGGGGATCATGGGGCCCCTGTGTTCTTGCCCAAACTCAAAAAGGCCTATGAAAAAGGTAAGAGGGGCATCTCATGGGACCCCCTACTGACCCCGGGCCCTCGGGCAGTGCCCAAGTTTCCAAATGGTCAGTCCGCCCCTGCATATCGCTATCATATCCCCTCTCAAGCATCTCTTCTCCAGGGAGAATAAGTTCAATGTTTGTAGCCGTTCCTCTTAACCTCCCTAGCAGTATGATTATGTCCATATTTCTGTGCTGAAAGCGGTACATTTTTTTGTATTGAAATATGTATTTTTTTTATTATAAGGCCTGTAATTTTTAGGAATAACTCACTGAAATCTGTCCAAACAAGAGTCTAGTAAACATCCCGGGTATGATAAAATTTGAAACACAAAATCATAAATTATAATTTAATAAATAATCATAAAAATAATAATATAATAATAAATTTAGTTCAATAATATAATCAAACCAAAAACACTGAAATTTGAAATATAGCGCCAAGTTTGCACATCACTGAGCAAAGTCGCAAAATCGTTTTCAGTGTCTGATGACGAATTTCCCCACAAATCATTATCACTCAATTCTGCAAGTAGTTCTGATTTACTATCGCTGTTCTCTAGCTGCTCTAAAAAACTGCTTTTGACCAAAAGGGACGCTTTTTGGACGCCATCGACTTTTCTAAGTTTCCAGGCAGAAAGAACAGTCAAAATGCAGGCAGGGCACAGGACAAAGCAGTAGGGACAAAATGTATGTGAAATGGTTTGATACAGTAATGTTTTACTATGTCAAATTAATTTCTAATAAAATTACAGTTTCAAAAAATTTTAAAATTTGCCACCGTTCCGGCCCCCGTACGTCCCGACGCTCGCAGGGACTGGAACACGGAAGCCAGATGCCAGCATCGGCCGGAGGAGATGGCCGGGGACGCTACAGGGGACGCATCGCGGGAGTGAAGGACAAGGTAAGCCCTGCAGGGAATCCCTGAGCAACGCCGCATGGTAAGCCCGAGTGTAGCTCGGGGTTACTGCTTTTGGTACTGAAACTTTACCCCGAGCTACACTCGGGAACACCTCCAGGGAGGTTAACTGAGGTCCTCCAGTTCCCTTATTAACTTTGTTGCCCTTCTCTGGACTCTCTTCAGTTCCCTCAACTCCTTTCTGAGGATTGGTGACCAGAACTAGACAGCATACTCCAGATGAGGCCAAACAAGAATTTTATAAAGTGGCAGGATCATAGTTTTATCTCTGGAGTAAATTCCCTTTTTAATGCATGCTATTCAAACTTTTTTACCTTTACTGGCACCAGCACCACCAATGCCCCAAGCCTGCGGCACACCATCCTGACAAATTGGCTCCACGTGCTCAACCCCAAAGTTTTGATAGTCCCATTTGTCTATTTGGACCCTTATGTTGAATAAATCCATTAAACCCAGTCAGTCAGGTTAAAGAGAAGGTAGACTAAAGTACAGATATCTTGCACCACTTAGAACAGAATAAGAAAGGTCACTGTGTCACTCTCATGTTTTATTCAAAACAAAATTAATAGTTTAGAAATCATTTTTAAGAAACATTCTGACATGTACATTTAAATAAACAGTGTACTTTCTTTGTCCTTAGATCCTGACATTGACCCATCATGGTACACTGGCCGTGGAATCCGCCCTGTAGGAAGGTTTGGTAGGAGGGGCACAGCCTGGGAAGATGCTCAGAAGTTCGTGTACAGACCCTTGGGGCACACTTGTATTCCAATAGAACACAGCTTGGAGCTTAGTGACGACAATTAAAACTTTAGAGAATGGAAGTGCTATGGCCCTATGTACTGTATATATGAAGGGAGGCACACAACCCTTTATACCCTTGTTTTTTTTTCAAAACTCTACCAGTGCGTGAAAAGCTTGGCTCAAAAATGTATGCATCAAATAATGAAAAGCCAAATTTAATGAGAAGTGTTAAAAGATCATATGTTTTCTTCTGACATTATAGGATTTATGTCAAATCCTTCAAATACAAGTTCAAATACACAATCCACAAGGGATTTCCATGGAAAATATTTTCATAAGAATGGGTTCATCAGCAAAATATCTTCTTAGAGTCTTTCAAGTCAGGATTTTGCAGAGGCAGAGAATCAGATGATTTAGATCATGTATTCCCTGTGCACCAGTTTTTAGAAATGAAAACATACAGTTTTCATTTAATAGTTTTCATTATATTACATACTGAGATATGTAGCTTACAGAAACACCATTCCTCTTCATCTGTGTAAAATGCTCTGTTTATAAAGATCATTTGCCCCAAAAATTATTTCTCATGCTGGAATCAAGCAGGGTTCAAACCCTTTTAAGTTATTTAATGCTGTTCAGGATCCCAATTAGGGCATCAGCTTATCCCTAGAACATCTTCCTTAGCATTACCACTGGACTAAGACCCCATATAGCCAAATATTTGGTGGTGTTGTCAATGACTTCAAGGACATTAAGTCAATAAAGGGGTATTTAACACAAGAAAAAAATTATCACATTGCAGTTTGCAGTGGTGACTGCAACTATTTTTTAGCACTTTTTTCCTTTATTCCTTTAACAGAACAAGTAGGTGGTTTGCGACAAACCATTTACAATTGACAGGTAACTACAATGATCAGTTTTTATTTATGCAAAACCTTAATCCCAAAAGGAAAAAAAACTGTTGCTTTAACTGCTTAAAAAGTGTTAGCTGGACGTTGGTTTGAAAAAAAAAAAAAAAATTCCCCCTAATAGGCAATATCATAATGTGCTAGCATGCTATGCATAATAGCACATTATGAAAAACTACCTTAACCGCTTCCCGTCTGGCCCATGTATATAAACAGGAACTGATGGGAGCAGTACAGGAGCGGGTTGCTGTTTATAAACAGTGCCCGCCATTTTAGCCTGTGCGCGCTCCCTGGGAGCACGCGGCACCGCAATCCCGTGCCCGCTGTGTTCTCCGGACACAGCAGAACACCGAACGCTGTACGATACCTCTGTGTGAGGTCCCGATCATGTGATCACTGATTGGCCAATCAGTGATCACAATCAGTGGCCAATCACTTCTGACATCATTGCTTACTACGTGTGAAATCTGTGAATGATCAGAGATCACATGGTACAATGCTATTTACAACAGCCTTGTACCATGTGACAAGCTGTGACCAATCACAGCTCTCACAGTATTTCTCAATGGCTGCAAGAATGCAGCCAAAGAGAAAGAAATGATTGCTTTTATAGCCTTTATGGGTGTGAAAGCAATCAGTGTAAAAAAAAAAAAAATCTTCATCACTCCCCACAAGTAGTACAGTGTAACTATGATGACACTGTACTGCTAGGGTGACAGTATGTAAAAAAAAAACCCATAAATAATAATATAAAAAAAAAAAAAAAAATTTAGAAAAATTATATTTTTTGGTTATAAACTAATTTGGGATATTGTTTTTGCTAAAAAGATAGCTGAATACATCTTGCCAAGATGTATGAAGAACGATTATTAATTTGCTAAATTTTATAAGAAAAACACTTTTTTTCAACATTTTTGGACTTTTTCATTTATACAGTCAGGTCCATAAATATTGGGACATCGACACAATTCTAACATTTTTGGCTCTATACACCACTACAATGGATTTGAAATTAAATGAACAAGATGTGCTTTAACTGCAGACTGTCAGCTTTAATTTGAGGGTATTTACATCCAAATCAGGTGAACGGTGTAGGAATTACAACAGTTTGCATATGTGCCTCCCACTTGTTAAGGGACCAAAAGTAATGAGACAATTGGCTTCTCAGCTGTTCCATGGCCAGGTGTGTGTTATTCCCTCATTATCCCAATTAAAATGAGCAGATAAAAGGTCCAGAATTCATTTCAAGTGTGCTTTTTGCATTTGGAATCTGTTGCTGTCAACTCTCAAGATGAGATCCAAAGAGCTGTCACTATCAGTGAAGCAAGCCATCATTAGGCTGAAAAAAGAAAACAAACCCATCAGAGAGATAGCAAAAACATTAGGCGTGGAACATTCTTAAAAAGAAGGAACACACCGGTGAGCTCAGCAACACCAAAAGACCCGGAAGACCACGGAAAACAACTGTGGTGGATGACCAAAGAATTCTTTCCCTGGTGAAGAAAACACCCTTCACAACAGTTGGCCAGATCAAGAACACTCTCCAGGAGGTAGGTGTATGTGTGTCAAAGTCAACAATCAAGAGAAGACTTCACCAGAGTGAATATAGAGGGTTCACCACAAGATGTAAACCATTGGTGAGCCTCAAAAACAGGAAGGCCAGATTAGAGTTTGCCAAACGACATCTAAAAAAGCCTTCACAGTTCTGGAACAACATCCTATGGACAGATGAGACCAAGATCAACTTATACCAGAGTGATGGGAAGAGAAGAGAATGGAGAAGGAAAGGAACTGCTCATGATCCTAAGCATACCACCTCATCAGTGAAGCATGGTGGTGGTAGTGTCATGGCGTGGGCATGTATGGCTACCAATGGAACTGGTTCTCTTGTATTTATTGATGATGTGACTGCTGACAAAAGCAGCAGGATGAATTCTGAAGTGTTTCGGGCAATATTATCTGCTCATATTCAGCCAAATGCTTCAGAACTCATTGGACGCCGCTTTACAGTGCAGATGGACAATGACCCAAAGCATACTGCAAAAGCAACCAAAGAGTTTTTTTAAGGGAAAGAAGTGGAATGTTATGCAATGGCCAAGTCAATCACCTGACCTGAATCCGCTTGAGCATGCATTTCACTTGCTGAAGACAAAACTGAAGGGAAAATGCCCCAAGAACAAGCAGGAACTGAAGACAGTTGCAGTAGAGGCCTGGCAGAGCATCACCAGGGATGAAACCCAGCATCTGGTGATGTCTATGCGTTCCAGACTTCAGGCTATAATTGACTGCAAAGGATTTGCAACCAAGTATTAAAAAGTGAAAGTTTGATTTATGATAATTATTCTGTCCCATTACTTTTGGTCCCTTAACAAGTGGGAGGCACATATGCAAACTGTTGTAAGTCCTACACCGTTCACCTGATTTGGATGTAAATACCCTCAAATTAAAGCTGACAGTCTGCAGTTAAAGCACATCTTGTTTGTTTCATTTCAAATCCACAACGGTGTACAGAGCCAAAAATGTTAGAATTGTGTCGATGTCCCAATATTTATGGACCTGACTGTATAGCAAAAAAAATTAAAATCCCAGTGGTGAATAAATACCACCAAAATAAAGTTTTATCTCTCAAAAAAATGCTAAAAAATTAATATGGGTACAGTGTTGCATGACTGCGCAATTGTCATTCAAAGTGTGATAGCACTAAAAGCTGAAAATTGGCCTGGACAGGAAGGGGGTAAAAGTGTCCGGACTGGAAGTGGTTAAACAAAGCCCTCCAGTGGTGCGCTGTCATTGCCGACAGAGCTTCTATCTTCACCTGGTGTTCCTTACAGGTTTGTGGGCTCTGGCCGTCTGACTGGACACACCATGATGACGTAACTCCAACGCAAGTGCATGGGAACCCCGGGCAGGGCACAAAGCTCTGAAGGAACGGCACGGTATGCCATTCCTTCAGAGCACATGCGCCAGTGACATCACCTCCATGGAAAGTTCTCCTAAATGGTACACATTTAGGAGACATTCCTTTAACCTACAGGTAAGCTTTATTATATGCTTACCTGTCGGTAAAATCGCAAAAACAGGTTTACTACCACTTTAATTTATTAGTCAAGTCCATCTAAATCTGCTAGTCTAACACTACTTTCTCCCCAGATTGGCAATGCTGCTATCCAACGGTGTCTCTGATGCTCCCTCAGTGGAGTCGAGACAAGACAGGAAGTGTATTACTGACCACATCACCAGGTGAAAAGGGAAAAAAACTAAAAAGAAACCTAACGCAGCCACAACATTTAACGATTAGTAAGCTGCAATCAATTCAACCTTTTTTGGGGGGTTTAACATTTCATTAAGACTCAACAGCTGTTTCTCCAGCTCTTGCAGACTACTTATTGCAATAGCAATGCTATCTGTCTCTCCAGTCTCCTTTTGTCTTCAGTTCTCCTTTAGATTTCCTGTATGCACTCTACCAGAAAGTTCACAATATGCATTTCTATATGTTATTCCTAGTGGATTCTCAATGGGAATATATAAAAAAAAACTCACTTAGGCATGTATTCATTGTAACTTGGGAGAGAAACCGGACCATCCTATCACAATCCTGACCGCGGTGGGAGAAGATTTGTATATACTGTATATGGTGTCCCAAAGACTGGTAAAACACCAGGGAGAATCAAACTTCACACTTCTCCCCTTCCCACATGTCTCCAAACTGTTTTGGGTAGGATGGTAGTTTATATGCCTCCTGCAATGTTGTCACAAGCAGTAAGGAGAGATTCAACCAACCTGTAAATCAGCAACAACAGTGGACAGTTCAACAATAGATCACACATATAAAAGTATCTATGTCATAGCAGCGTTCTGCTGTTATTTTTTTTCTAATGTAGGCTAGAAAAGAGAGGAAGAATCCAATTATTTTCAGTGAAACCTTTTTAATAAATGATACATTTTACTGCATCCTATGGAATCAGTATTGGCCAGATCCCAGTATATTATTATTATACAGGACTTATATAGCACCAACAGTTTGCGCAGTGCTTTACATATAAGAGAGACAGTACAATTATAATACATTTCAGTACAGAAGGAGTAAGAGAAATATAAATATTTCTTCTATATAGCTTTGATAAATTATTACATAATAACCTGCCTTGTGCTCATTAATGTATATATCAGGTCTGTGTCTAAACTCCAGTCCACCACCAGCAATCAACACAACTATAGTTTAAATCAGTTATTTTCAGTGCTCTTCTTAGGTAGCTAACGTATAATGATGAAGCTGTGTTCCTAAACCATCATTTCTCCTGTTTTATTCACATATATAACATAAATCTCATTTGTTATTGCTTTCATTTTATATTATTCGTTGTTACATTTATTTGTTTCACTTGTAAATCAGAAACTCTGTTTTATCACCTTTCCAAGTGGAATATTTTATACCAGCCAAAATAAAAAGGAACCAACTGAAAAATACATTTTATTAGGATTATGTTTTTGATCACTGTAGTCTTTTTTGTGTGTTTGTGTATGTTCTCTGTAATTGCTTAGAGGTATTGCATTTTTATTAAGGACACTTGTTTTCAAGGTTTTTCTTTAATTACCTTTCTTGGAGCACCAGTTTAATGTAATGAATACCAAATAGAATTTATCTTTCTATTCTCCTCTTATCTGTCAGCTCAGGACAATGGGTCTGATGTAGGAAAAGAATGGGATTAAAATATGTGTCCTTTATGGCACCAAAGGCTTCTCTTGTATTGGGTCTTTAAAGAAGAAGTTCACCTTTTAACAAAAAATACCCAATGCACTTTTTTGCAGGTAAAAAAATGTGCATTTATTATTTTGTTGTTTGTTTTTTGAGCCTCTAAAACAGTGGTTCTCAACCTGTGGGTCGTGACCCCTTTGGGGGTCAAACGACCCTTTCACAGGGGTCCCCTAAGACCATCAGAAAACACATATTTCCGATGTGTAAAGAGCAGCTACTGTGTAGAAAGCAGCTGCTGTGTTGAAAGCAGCTACTCTGTTAAAAGCAGCTACTGTGTTGAAAGCAGCAGTATTGGAGGTAAAATGACACTCATGAATTATAATTACTGGGTAAATAATTTTATGGTTGGGGGTCACCACAACACGAGGAACTGTATTAAAGGGTCACGGCATTAGGAAGGTTGAGAACCACTGTTCTAAAACATTGCACTAGCAATCAGCAGATGGCAGGTGCCATGCAGGTCTCCATCTCAGTGTATCTGTGTGCCCATACATCCCGTATGGACAGGCAGATACTGAAAGGAAGACTCAATGAACTACCACGGTGCTCCACAGCGCAATGGTAGTTCACTGAGAACTACAAGTCGACAGCTGCAAAGGCTGTTGGAACTTGTAGTTTTCCCATTCACAGAATGAGAGAAGATCCCCTGCTAACTGTCACATTAAGGAGCAGGGAGGAAAGGGCACCGGTCTGTTCATAACATGTTTCACCCTTAATATGGGTATAACATGTGAAATGTTACAAAAGGTGAACTTATCCTTTAAACCTGATTACCACAACCTGCACAGGACATTTTTTGCTGTGACTAATTGTCTACTGGAAATTGCAGCATCGGTGTATTCCATCAGTTTTCTGTGCTCCTTGCATGATGATATCTGTATCCCTCCTGCGTGTCTTGCCCAGTTTATGGTGGTCCATGATAAGAAGTTGACTGGCTGCAGAAAGAAGAACAGTATAAAGATTATTAAAATTTACAGGCAACACAAGATGATTATAGATGGCCATAGCTTGACAGTGTCCATTTAATGGACTTGACACATACGGTGATGACTTGTTTTACCAACTAAAAAATGGTATAGTAGATGTAAACTCAATCACCTCATATAAACTATTTCATGGTAATGTACTTTCCAAAGTGATTTTCAATCTTATGAAATCTGTAGCTTTCCTTTAAATAATGCCTGATGATCCTGCCATAAAGGTGTTTCTTCAAGAACTTCCTTTTATAGGGTGATACCAATTGTGCTTCAGCAGTGTCAACCAGTCTTACGGGCTTCAGATACAGGCTACAATTGGCAGTTTCAACACACATTACATAGGCATGGTCCATTTCTGTCACCATCAGGAAATCTGTCCTGAGAAATTTCATGCCGCAATAACTTAACCTCTGAAACTACTAAGCAACTTATTCACTCCCTGGTTATCTCTCGCCTTGACTATTGTAACTCCCTCCTCATTGGCCTATCTCATTGCAGGCTATCCCCTCTTCAGTCTATCATGAATGCTGCTGCCAGACTCATCCACCTTACTAACCATTCCATATCAGCCACCCCTCTCTGCCAATCCCTCCACTGGCTTCCCACTGCCCAATGGATAAAATGCAAAACATTAACAATAACATATAAAGCCATTTATAACTCTGCCCCCAATTACATCACCAATCTTGTCTCCAAATATCACCCAAACTGTACTCTCCGCTCCTCACACGACCTCCTGCTCTCTAGCTCCCTTGTCTGCTCCTCCTATGCTCGTCTCCAGGACTTCTCCAGAGCTTCCCCCATCCTCTGGAACTCTCTACCCCAATTTATCAGACTATCGCCTACTCTGCTCACTTTTAGCCAATCTCTGAAAACCTATCTCTTCAGGGAAACCTATCCTGCCCTCATATAATAATGGAATATTCTATTCCTCCTACCAGTCCATCCCCCACAGTTACTACCTTTTGTACCACTAGCCCCTCCCTCTTAGATTGTAAGCTCCAAGGAGCAGGGCTCTCCTAACCCTCTTGTATTGAACTGTATTGTTGCTGTATTGTCTCCTGTTATATTGTAAAGTGCTGAGCAAACTGTTGGCGCTATATAAATCCTGTATAATAATAATAATAACTGAAGTGCGTCAATTTAGACAAGAAGTGGATCCAAACAGAATGTAGAAGATCCATAGCACTGAGATGCCATGCCACAAAGGTAAAAAAAATAAGGTGAAAACAGTACATCTAAGAAAAAATGTTAATGATACCCCTTGCAACTTATACAGTATGTATGTTATGTTAGGGTTTGCATCTACTTTAAATCAAACCTTCCTTGTTTTCTTATTAAATTATTTTCATTCCCATACCAGTGCTGCACTTTAGCTCGTTTAGCCTTTCGGTTGGGGGCTTCCCTTTTAGAACCCAGTTATTATCCCTTTAAGGTGCAAAGGCAGTGCACAATGTGTTTACATGCTGAGGTTATGAGGCTTTCCTTTGCACCAGCAGAAAAAACTATCACTCCTGTCACATTTGGCAGGTCGTTAAGCCAGCCAAATGGAACCAATTCAAGTGAATGGGGACGCATCGCAAATGACCCACAACTGCATGCAGTTGTGGCACATTAGTGCGGCAAATATGGGGTTAAAATGGGTGTTACTTTACATTACATTGCCTCCTCACTTCCTGCCAAACGCCTCTGAAAGTGATCTGACTACTTTTCAAGACAGTGATGTTACAGAGTACGATATCAAGGCGTTTTCAACAATATAATTAGAATTAGTGAATAAAATCCCAGGTGAATGCAAAATGCTAAAGACAAAATATGCAGCTATCAAGAGTAAAGACTACTGTACCACTTTGTATGTGTACATGTGTTCTGCATAGGGCCCCTCTCCTACTGCTTTGGGATCTATTTAGAGGTCAAGTACCTATGTCCGCCAACAAAAGCATTTCCCTATAGGAGTGTGAATAAGACATCCGGAAAGCCCCATATCAGGTGAATGTGCCCTACAATGTGCATAGCTGACAGCAAACTGAACACAGATACAAAAATTGTGCCAGTGAGTGCAGCTACTGAATGTACTCTGCTATCCATATATTTTACAGCATTTGCAGGGGTGAGACCTGACTAACATAATCTGCCTACTGTATAATGCACAGAAAAAAAAAAAACTTTTACAAACCCATATTATGTTAAAGTGTTACTAAACCCACAACAGTAAAATCAGTCTGTATATGCAGTAAAGCATGCTGTTATACTCACTGTAAAACCTAAGAGGTTAATCCTCTGCATTGTGTAAAAAGGCAGTTTGATCGGGTCTTCTCTGATCCTCCCTTTATTCTACTGTCTCCAATCCATCTGCTGATAGTACAGAGCTCTAGGAGTTACTCTGAACATGCTCAGCTTAGTGTGTATGGCTAGAGAGCTTTTTTTTTCTTTGGAAGAGTGCATGTGATCAGCACAGGGCCAATCAGCACTGTCCAGACAGAGAGTAAGGTGTTATGTAGCCTCATAGGACAGTCAGAGAAGAATGAAAACTCCTCCTACAAGCTTTAACCAGTGCTTAGCTAGACACTGATAGAAGTCACAAGACTGCTATATACTGCTGATGAGAAAAGGCATTTAGCAGTTTATATTTTCTAAAATAATTGCATCTCTATGTTCTGTGTACTATAGGAGACTAGATATAGTGAATGCAGGGTCCTGAGTTTAGTGACACTTTAAGCACTGTTCCAGAATTCTTGTTTTAAACTAGTAGACTAATGTCATTTCACTCTGAAGATACCTATATGCATTAACCTCTTCACGCCGGCCGCATGTAAATGTGCGGACTCCCGGTGTCTGGGCCTTGACGCCGAGCTGCTGCACATTTGCGTGCAATTAACAAAAACATATGTGCTGAGAGCGAGCGCCCTGCGTGCTCCCAGCACACATGTCCGGTACTCATGGAAAGGTCCCAATCTCCTCTTTCGATCGGGACCTTTCCTGATCATGTGACCACCGTGACGGCAAATCACGGCGATCACCTGACCTTAAAACCCCGCCCCGCCTCCCGACTACTGAAACCCTTAAAGGGTCAGGAGGCACTGGCACCAAGAGGTTAAATGACTGGCACCAGTTTGAGCTAGACTGTGCAATGATTATTATATCTACTAGTAGATTAAAGTATATTTCGGGCAAAACACTAAATAAAAACATATTCATTACATCTCTACATTACAAGTATGTTTCCCTATGTTTTTGTCTCTTCAACATTGCTGCAGTCACAAAGAATATCTGTTGACCCTACCAGAGATCCAGCAAGCTTCTAATTTCCTTTGCACTCTGCCTGTGCTGCAGTGAAATTCCAAGCTGTGTCATTAGCCCTACCCAGTTTTTCCATGGAACACAGAACACCTCTTTCCTTTGTTGTGGAAATGAGGGAAGGGGGTGGTGTTATGTAGTCCAGATCAGAAGCAGGCAGACTAAGGTGACAACACTTCTCCTTAATGAATACATTACAGGGAAGGAGCATTGTCACCCTAGGACAGGAAATGTTTTACTGGCAGGCTTACCACCTGAAAATTAAAGAAAAAAAGGCTGCGGAAAAAAGAAAGAAAACAAATGCAGTCACCTTATCCAAGAACATGAAAGCTGAAATATATTACATTTTTGTACTTAGGTTTTTATACACTTTAAAATCAGAGCAGTCACTCCTAGCAGACCCTTCTTTGGGGAAAAGACAACTGTCGTTGTTGGATTTTCCAGGCCAATCAATGTTGTTACCCTGAGATAAAGATGGGACAGGTTACAGGTGAGGTTGTCTCCAGGGGCAGAGAAGTGCATGTTTGGGCGATACAAGCACACTAGTCTATATAGAGTAGTGTATATACACTTGAACATCTGACTATTATCTATGGCCAGCTACAGAACGAATAGTCTTCATATACAGTGAAGGAAATAAGTATTTGATCTCCTGCTGATTTTGAATATTTTTTCCCACTCACAAAGAAACGATCAGTCTAAAAATCGAATGGTAGGTGTATTGTAACACTGAGAGACAGAATAGCAACAAAAAATTTAAAAGAAATGCATGTCTAACAAATTATGCACTGATTTGCATGTTCATGAGGGAAATAAGTATTTGATCCCCTATCATTCAGCAGGATTTCTGGCTACCAGGTGTCTTTCATACAGGTAACAAGCTGAGATTAGAAGCAGTCTCTTAAAGGGAGTGCTGCTAATCTCATTTTGTTACCTATATAAAAGACATCTGTTCACAGGAGCAATCAAACGATCAGATTCCAAACTCTCCACCATGGCAAAGACCTAAGAGCTGTCCAAGGATGTCAGGGACAAGATTGTAGACCTACACAAGGCTGGACTGGGCTACCAAACTATCGCTAAGCAGCTTGGTGAGAAGGTGACAACAGTTGGTGCAATCATTCACAAATGGAAGAAACACAAAACAACTGTCAGTCACCCTAGGTCTGGTGCACCATGCAAGATCTCACCTCGTAGAGTATCAATGATCATGAGAACAGTGAGGTATCATCCCAGAACTACACATGAGGATCTTGTCAATGATCTCCAGGCAGCTGGGACTACAGTCACCAAGAAATCAATTGGTAACACACTACGCTGACAAGGATTGAAATCCTGCAGTGCCCGCAAGGTCCCTCTGCTCAAGAAAGCACATGTCCAGGCCCGTCTGAAGTTTGCCACTGAACTTCTGAATGATGCAGAGGAGGACTGGTTGAAAGTGTTGTGGTCAGATGAGACCAAAATCGAACTCTTTGGCATCAACTCAACTTGCCGTGTTTGGAGGAGGAGGAATGCTGCCTATGACCCCAAGAACACCATCCCAACTGTCAAACGTGGTGGAAACATTCTGCTTTGGGGGTGTTTTTTTTGCTAAGGGGATAGAACAACTGCACCGCATCAAAGGAACGATGGACGGGGCAATGTACCATCAAATCTTGGGTGAGAACCTTCTTCCCTCAGCCAGGGAATTGAAAATGGGTTGTGGATGGGTGTTCCAGCTTGACAATGACCCAAAACACATGGACAAGGCAGCAAAGGAGTGGCTCAAGAAGAAGCACATTAAGGTCCTGGAGTGGCCTAGCCAGTCTCCAGACCTTAATCTGATTGAAAATCTGTGGAGGGAGCTGAAAGCTCGAGTTGCCAAACGTCAGCCACCAAACCTTAATGACTTGGAGAGGATCTGCCAAGAGGAGTGGGCCAAAATCCCTCCTGAGATGTGTGCAAACCTGGTGGCCAACTACAGGAAACATCTCCTTAGATTGTACACCCCTAGAGGGTTAGAGACTGATGTGAATGTTTAATATATATGTAAAGCACTGTGCAAATTGACGGTGCTATATAAGTACCTGAAATAAATAAATAAATCTGACCTCTGTGATTTCCAACAAGGGATTTGCCACCAAGTGCTACGTCATGTTTTGTGAAGGGGATCAAATACTTATTTCCCTCATGAACATGCAAATCAGTGCATAATTTGTTAACATGTATTTTTTTTTGTTGCTATTCTGTCATTCTTACCATACACCTACCATTCGATTTTTAGACTGATCATTTCTTTGTGAGTGGGCAAACATTCAAAATCAGCAGGGGATCAAATACTTATTTTGTTCACTGTATGAATCCCAAAATGACTGCCTAATGATTGTATTGTACTTGCGCACCTGATTGTTACCTATAGCCAACTACAGATCTGTGGTCTCATCAAGTATATACTCACCCACAGCTTCAAACACTTGGCACACTCCTTCTCCTGTCTTTGCTGAGGTTTCCATGTACAGCAGTCTTTCCTGTTCAGCAAAAGCCTGAGCATCCTGGAAGTAACATAATACACTGAAAGAGTTTATGTGTTGATATATGTACAGTACATAGAGAAATGTATCTTATGATTTACAGTGCCATGGAATAGAAAATTAGAGCAAAACTGGCATTTATCGTCTTAATCATACACAGAACTTATGCAGGCCATACGTGGGTCGAATCCCAAACAATTTTTTTATCCAAAAATCGAAAACGTCGTTGGCTCGGTAATCCAATGGTGCCATCAATGATTTCGAAAATCGGCCAACCAAGTCATAAAGTTCACCCCATAAACAAGGTAAAACTTCTGTTCCTTCCAGATCACGGCTCATGCGCATATTCTTTTTGGAAAAATGATTGTACGATTTGACCATCGAGTCGAAAATCGGTAATTTTCACGAATTTTCCAACATGCCGATCATCGAAAAGGGGAGGAACCACGAAAGTTGGCCGGTGCCATTAACCCACTAAGAGTGAAAATTGGCCGATTATTCTTAGGTCTGATTTTCGGATGAATAATCGGTCGAATTTCAACCCGTGTATGGCCGGCATAAGTGGGAACTACCCTCAGGTATCAAAATCAGGCATCTTCAGGTGCCTCCACTTACCCATAAATGACTATGAGGGTCCTAAACCTCAAACATTCTAGTTTGCCAATCACAAGTTCCTCAGCAAAAATCAAAAGCACTGGGTTACCACCTGCAATTTCTATAGGGCAGTGAAAATACAAATGACCTTTACCAACCAAAAGCACTTTAAACTATAATGTTTATTGTACACATATTAAAAACATGTATAACACAATGTCCAATACTTTCATATAGGGTGTACAAATCTTTTTCCATCTTGCAATCCACATGTCAGCTCAAGACATTTTGAATGTACAAACATCTTCATCAGGAACACATGTGAATAACGTCAGTATAATGGAACCTGGTCTTTTAAAACCACAAATATATATAATTTGCTAGAACAAGACTGAGCCTTGGTTCACATACATGCGATACAGTATATCACATGTGACTCGCACAGGAACCGCACCACATTCCTGTGCAAATCACATGCAATTTGTGTGCGGTGCAATTGGAGTCATATATTTTGTATGGCTCTATTCGCACCACACCAAAACCAAAAACATGCAGGAACCTTTTTTGGGTCCACACTAGAATCAGATCACATAGGTATTCACACCTATGTGATCTGATTCTGCACATTGTACCACGTTTTGTGGACCGCTTTCGGGGTGTTGCTAACATAACATACACACTCACAGCGATTCGCATGAACGGGGTGCGATTCTGATGCAGAGTGGAATTCGCACTGAAAACGCTGTGAATTCTGCACTGCATCAGTGTGAACCAAGGCTAAAGGATAAGTTCAACTTTCATAACATGTTACATATTACACCCATATTCAGGGTTATGTTATGAAAGCATCGTCCCTCACTCCCCGCCGATCCCCCGTTTTGACAGCCAGCTGGTGATCTCCCCCTCCTCCCCCCTGCTAGCTGTCAAATCTGTGAATGAGAAACTACAAGTCACAGCAGCCATGGTGGCTCTCAACTTGTAGTTCTCAATGAGCTACCACAGTGCTAAGGAGCACCGTGGTAGATCATTGAAGCTTCCTGTCAGTATATCTACTTGCTCATACATCCCATACAGGCAATCAGATATACTGATAGGTCTGCAGGAGACCTGCATGGTACCAGTGATTTACTGATCTCTGGTGCAATGCTTTATAGGCTCCTGCAGCAAAAAATAATAAATGCACATTTTTTTACCTGCAAAAAAAGTGCATGTATTATTTTTTACCAAAAAGGTGAACTTATCGTTTAATGTAACATCCTTTCCAGAAGGGGCAGCCAAGGAACGAAAAATTAGCCAAAGAACATTTGACCCTCACAAGGGGTGCAATAGGTAAATAGCCCAGCCAAAAGTCAAAAGATCAGTACAATCTCCAAAGCACTGCAAGTTCCACAGATCCCAATGGAGCCCAACGTAAACAGTAATAAATGGTTCAAATAGTCAGCCATACAGAGTAAACCAACAAGTCCATCCAGTATCCCCATCAAATTGACACACTGTAACCCTAACATGCAAACAGGAGGCATATTAAGCTAACGTAGACATTCATAAAATGATGCTTCCAATATATACTAAATCTTCCAAATGAAACTACAAATCAAAGTGTCTACCATCTCTACCTGTTTATTTTGAAATGTTATGGTTGCTGCTGAAGTCGCTTTAAAGGTGTTGTACATTTTCAAATGTTTTTTTATTGTTTTAACCAGGTATTAGTTATATTTCCTGTGCTGTTTGTCTTACCTAATGATGATGGAGTCATATGTCTTGACTGCAGTTTGTAATAACATGGCTGATCAATTCTCTTATGTCCATGTGAGTCTAACCAATGCCTCACCATTTCTCTGCGTTGCATTACAAATGTGGAAGTGCTAATGTGATGTAGACACATCTTTTCCCTCTATTGCTTTGCCTGCTTGTGTCTGATTCAGATCTAATATCTAGGTTTTACCTGCAGACCACTAGACTGAAAAACTCAGGGACTGTGCGATATATAGTTTCTTCATAGAAAGTGTTACACAGAGGTATTGCATTTGCTTGTGTATTGCCATGCCGTATGCCTCATATTTTAACACAAACAGACAAAAGAATGTGTAGATTTATTTATCTATAGAATGTGTGTACAGGGCAATAAATGACACCATGGATCTACATGATGAATGCATATCTTAAGCAGGTGAAAAATACAAGATGCAGGTAAAGGATTTATAATGCCCTTAAAGTTGTGTTTTACATTTTGGAATTACAATCCATTGTAATGCTATGCTGCCAAGGGTATGTAGGCAGGTGCAGTCTATTTTCTCTACTGTAGGTGGTGCTCAAACCGAATGGTACCACAGCCTGGAGGGGAAGTCCTAGGGGAACCTGGTTTCTCTATGGTTTCCTGGATCAATTGAAGCAAAGTTTCAGCTGGCTACACGGCAGCTATTTGCCCATTTTCGGCCCTCTTGGGTCAGTAGGGTCTATTTAACCTTATGCATTATGTGATTGGCTGATGTAGGAAGAGAGATCCCACTTGTTAGGGAAAGTAAATAACGGTAGGGAAAGGTTCCTGATAAGAAGAGACAGGCTAGGGACTCACTATCCTGGAAAGGATCCTCTCCTCTTGTGACCAAACTGGCCAGGCTGCACTTCACCCTCTGAAACAGATGCTGTTGGCACCTCTCCTTAGCCACATTTGACTGTATTGAACTGTGAGTTATTTCCCTAGTGGCATTATCCCACCAGGGTGTTTGTAACGTTGGCATTCTGTTCAGTACAAATTCTAAGTTTTACTGGACTGCCAGCATCACGCTGCAGCTCTCCACAGGCACATTGAGCATAGTACATAAGTCACACAACCAAATGCCATATACTCATGCACCAGTTTGCATTCTTCTGCTGCAACAAATCATACCTCATGTGAAACTTTCCTTTCTGAATTTAGATCAGTCTTATTTCCAACAAGTGCAATGACCATTTCTTCACTCAAGACATATTTCCGTAGCTCCTGAAGCCATAGCTGAGCCCTCTTAAATGTTTCCTGGGTGAGATGGGAGCAAAAAGGGTGATTATTAATTCATTACAAATATAAAACAGGATATAAATTAGGATATGTAAAGATCATGTATTGTATGACATCTGCTTCACTGAGAACTACTATTTTGCAATGAAAATAACTTTTTAAAGTGTACCAGTTGCACATTTAGTTGGATAAGTCAACATTCAAACATTAAAAGGACATTTTTTGTTGATTTACTAAACGTAAAGAGTACAATATCTGATGCAGCTGTACATGGTAACCAATCAGCTTCTAATTTCAGCTTGTTCAATTAAACTTTGGCAAAACAACCTGGAAGCTAAGTGGTTTCTCTGCAGAGCTGCACTAGGCTTTGCACTCTCCAGTTTTAGTAAATAACCCCATAACTGTCTTCTAAATTGTTAACTTTTATTTTAAATATTGTATATAAGCTGGAAGTAATGTATATAACTTCAGAATGGGCCATTTTAGAGTATGCTAGTTAATCATTTCTGGATATACAGTATGTGTGTTACCAGCAATGCTTTTCACTTATAGGTATATATACAAACTTATAGGTCCACACATTGCAGTTGTAATGTCAGATCTGCCAACTACAAATTTACTCACTGTAAAGTGTATTGGACAAAGTCATGCTTGTTCCAATCTATTTAGTGCAGTCATGTGACAGTGATCAACTGACAGGATTCACTAAATACATCTTTAAGAAGTTCTGCCATGTATGCTTCCTCCATTGATGAAACAACTATGAATGACTCTTGCAAGTTCTTTGTAAGTATAAAAAAAATATTTTGGATTTTGCATTTTTTTAAAAAAGGTATTTACATCTGCATTTTGGTATATAAAGTGGGGCTATCATTTTACATGTGCATTGTTTGTCTTTAAATAATTTTTGTCCTTTCCTCACTCCGTACCTATGGTCAGCACAAGTTATTTGGATTAAAGCTTTCAACAATCTGCAGGATGTTATTTGGATTGGGTCACTGCCTGCTAACCTACTGGACTGTAAGTTAGGCTATCTCACCATAACTGGGTCAGTTGTAGAGATTACACTTTCAATGCTTAGATTACTGAAGTAGGACAGGAACTAAAACCTAAAATAGAGGCACACAATGCCCCCTCTGCAATAAAATAAACCTGCCTGCTTGCAGTTTTCTTAAAAATGTACATGGACTGCACATGTGCATCTCTGTTTACATTCTGGCACCTGTGTGCTGGGTGACTGAACTTCTGTGCATGCGTGGGAGTGACGTCATCCAGCATTAGCCAATCAGTGGTAGCCGAAGACTAGTGATGGGCCAAACACCCCCCTGTTCGGTTTGCGGTGGAACATTTGAACATAACAAAAGCTTGACAGCGAACTTCAAACAGAGGGGACAATTCACTAAACAGTATCTTACTGCATCTGAGTATATGGTAAGATACCGCACAGCTACTAAAAACATTCTTTATTGTTTCAGATATCAATAGGGTTCCCCGCTGACAGATGAATGTGAAAAAAACTGCTGGTATTGCCTGCCAATAAATGTAAAAAAAAAGGCGAGGGGGCCCCTCCCATCTGTACCAAGCCCTTCAGATCTGGTATGGATTTTGAGGGGAATCCCCAAGCCAAAGTTTTTAAAAAAATGGCGTGCGGATCCCCCCCAAAATCCATACTAGACCCTTATCCAAGCATGCAGCCCTGCAGGTCAGGAAAGGAAGGGAACGAGCAAGCTCCCTCCTTCCTGAACCATACCAGGTCACATGCCCTCAACAAAATCACCTTGTCCCCTTTGTTGATGGGGACAAGGGCCTCTTCCCCACAACTGTAGCTGGTGGTTGTGGGGATCTGAGGGTAGGGGGGCTTATCGTAATCTGGAAGCCCCCCAGATCCCGGTCCCCCCTATGTGAATGAGTATGGGGTACGTGGTACTGCTACCTATTCACAAAAAAAAAGTGTAGTGGAAAAATGACAGGGAACAGTCTTTGACAAACCCTTTATTAAAAACAAAAATGTAAAAAATGTCCTATAAAGTAGATGCACTGTCAATCACGATGCCCACCACCACTGCCTACCTGAAAACAGAAAAAAAAAACGCTCCGCACCCTATGCTGGCTTTCGCCATCTGACAGCTGCGCTGGGATGACAGTTCTTAAATAGTGTGATGACGTCACAAGGGGTGGGGGTGACCCTCGTGACATCATCATGTGTTGTGATTAGCCAAAGCATTGCACCTGACCTATGGCCTGGTGCATTGCTTTGGCCAATCACAATGTACTGTCAGGGCACAGTGCATTGAGGGACGCAGTGGGCTTACAGCCCACGGAATGCCCTTGCCATTTGTATGTTCACCAAACACGCAAACGGCCAATGTTCCAGTCGAACTAACGTTCAACTTGAACATATAGGCCATCACAACAGAAAACCAGCACCAGACAAACCCTTGAAGTAGAGGTAAGTTTTGTAGACTTCCACATTCCACATTAAGTAATATCAACACCATTAAAATTCCACACTCAGCTGTGATAATAGAAAAGATATCATGTGTACATTCATGCACTTCTACATCCTGCACCTATTAGCTGGTAAGGGAACTAAAATATTGAAATATTACACATAACAAGTTAACAGAGTAAGGGGGGAGCTATTCCCAATGTCAGACTTCCGTCACCAAGTGACTACCCAGGGCTGCCAGATATTATAAAATTGAAAAAACTAAATTAAACAAATCCAAAATATTGAGACAATATGTCATCATAAATAACGAATTATCAAAATCAGAATTGAATTTTAAATAAATTTAAAGATGAAATTGAATATGAAAACAAATTTGAAATGTAAGCATGGTGCTTAATATTGCTGATTTCCTTCAAAGACTGTGTATATTAGTATTAATATAGCTGTCCTTGAAATTTCGAATATAGAAAAGAGTAGGATACAACATAATAGAATAGAATAGAGAATAAAAAAATAGAATAGAAAATTAAATAATAGAATAGAATAGAAAAAAAAAACTAAAACACAATAGAATAATATAGAATAAAATAGAAATAATATAGCCGTCATCTGACATTCGAATTTTAAAAAGAATAGAAAAAACCCAAAACAGAATAGAATAGAAAATAAAAGAATACAATAGAAAGGAAAAGAAAAGAATAGAACACAAAAGAATAGAATACAATATAATAGATTAGAAAAAATAGAATAGAATAAAATAGAAAGAATATAGCCGTCTTCCAAAATTCAAATTTCGAAAAGACTAGAGTAGAGTAAAACTGAATAAAATAACAGAAAAGAAAACAATAGAAAAATAAAAGAAAAGAATAGAATAAAAATTTGAATAGAATAGAATAGAAAGAATATAGTCATCTTCCGAAATTTTAATTTTGCATAGAATTGAATAAAATAGAAAGAATATAGCCATCTTCCAAAACTTGAATTTCGAATAGCTATTCTTCACAATGAATTCGGAATTCAAATACTTCCAATCTATTGGAAAAAAAATGAATCCGATTGAAAACGAATAAAAGAAATGAAACTTAACTAAATGAACTTTGATACAAATGCAGTGAAATAAAACTAGTAACTTAACGAATCGATACAAAACACATTTTTTTCTTTCTGCAGATTTCTAATTTTCGTTGCAAAAACATTATGTGAGTTTCTCATTTTTAGAATGAATATTATTGAGAAGGATCAGTGATAAACCTGAATAATATGCACCTTGGAAGTGATATCATAAACCAGCAAGGCAGCACTGGCACCACGGTAGTACAGGTGGCACACACTGCGATACCTCTCCTGCCCAGCTGTGTCCCAAATCTCAAAGTTCATAGGTTGGCCCTGGAGGTAAACTCTTTGTGCGAAAAATGCACCTAAGAGATCAAGACAAAAGAAAATTAATAACAAATATATATGGTGGAAAAAAAAAGGTGCGTGATATCTTAAATTCATTTATAATTAATAATCTCCATATTTTGAACCTTTTCTTGGGATAATAAAGAGATCATATTATTATTTTATGTAAAATGTTTGATTTGGACATACTTTTTATTTTCCTGACTTTCAGAAATAATCTTTAAGTTTATTCAGATTTAGGTGCATTACTTTTTTTTTTTTTTTTTCAAAATATTCCTACAGTTAAACATAACTTTATGAAGAGAAAAAAAATTGTCATTAAATATTAAAATATAGTACAAAGTTATATTACTTTTTCACTATATTTTAATATACAGGTACAACAGTATGTAGCATCTTAGCTTTCCCTAAGTTTTAGTTTTAGTCCTTTTAGTTTAGCTAGGGGGAGCTAGACCCCAATGGTTAGACAGGGGCTTAGCAGCAGCCCAGGTGTAAAAGCAAGAGAGGGGTCAAATTGTGAGGGCTGAGAGGCTCTGCACACCAGCCACTCTGGAATTTCTGCCTGATCTAGGGCTTTTGGGGGAAGGCCGTAGAGGCAGTGGGTGGGTCTAAAGAAGTGTCTGGCTGCACTCTTGCGGGGTCCTAGCCAATCTCCAACAGGATGTTGGCAAGAGGCTTGACACCCTTAAAGGTGTTGGAGCCTGCTCAGTGGCAGGAGTGTAGGAGAGGAGTCAGTTGGAAGAGTGAGAGAGGAAGATGCGAGGCTAAGGAAGGAGGCTGCCAGGTGGCCTAGTGGGATGGGGCCTGCCTTTGAGCCTGGAGCTGGAAAGGCAGAAAACTCGGAACTCACTGGCCCCCTGAGTGAGGTCCACCTCTATGGCAGGGAAGGAGCAGCCCAGCTGATAGGCCTGGTAGCAGCAGCCAACCCGCAAGTGGTACAGGATAGGATCTGAGTTAGTACACCTTCACCTTCTTGGCGGATAGAAAAAAACAGATTAGCTCTCTGCTAGTGACTGTTCACCTATTTAAAGGGACAGGAGCCAGATCCCCTGCTCAGGAAAACCTCCAGATTGCTGGGTGAAGAGGAGAATTTCAGCTAGGGTCTGGGGTGGTGCAGATGTTGGCTAGCCCTCCAAGAGAGAGTGTGCTGCAGAAGAGAAGCTTGTGAATAGCTAGAGGAAGATTGTCCTCAGCTATTGGTTCCCTTGGGCATCCTATACACCCCTAACCCTATCCCAGTTCAAAAAATAAAAAACAAAACAAAAGCTCAAGGGACTGATTTCTGACTCTGGATGCAAGCTTGTGTGGAAAATGCAGATTGCCTGGTTGTGCAGGACTATAAAGACCCAAATTGTTAGCAACCCCCAAGGGGGTAGTGCTACAGATAAGCTATATTTATCAATAGGCTAGAAGAAGTATCTGTTTAGTCCCTAGCTACCAGAAAAACCTGCCATTCTATTAGTACAGGTAAAAAAATGGGCAGGATCTATTTGTTTTCTAATGGTAGTTTAGACACATCTACTTTCATACAGTTAAATAAAGCCTTTTATGTTTTACTTACATCCAGTAGTGCAGTCAGTATCCCGAAACTCATCCCTTAAGTATCTGAGAACTATGCTGGATTTTCCCACACCACTGCTTCCCAGTAGCACCAGTTTGTAGATGTAAACTGCCGGTTCCTCAGGAGTAATATCCGTTTCATGTTCCATTCCTACAAGCAACAGACCATGCATCGAAGATCATTCAATCAAGCTGTGTGCTATTAATTCTTTAGGTCACACCTATGTTTATGTAGCACCCTCCTAGTTAGGTTGCTAATAGGTTTGTGTAAATTTAGTTTTTAGCTCCTCGGTAGTCAGGAGAGCAGAATTTGATTGCGTTTGGCTGTTCTGGGTTCTGCCAGTTACAGGCTCAACTACTTCCCCCAGTATTCTGGAATGATCTGGAACATAGTGGGTTGAAAGAGGCAAACCCTGGGCTGAATATTCATGCAGTCTCAGCCAATCCCTGGTCAAGAGTGTCCAGAAGGGGGCTGAGGCATGCATAAATAGTCTGGGGCCTAGAACAGCAGGATCCTTTTTTTGTGTAGAGAGACCCAGCCTGGAGGGACTGTCTGCCCTCCTGGGCTACCTAAATGAAGACTGCACGTGGTTCATCGAGGTCCCAGCTCAGGGAGAGCTGGGGGTCTATTGCTGAAGCTTTTGAGAACAGTCTGGAAAAAGTCTAGTTAGGATCTGGCCTGGAGGCTAACGGTACAAAGTCTGGCTGGTACTGGAAGGAGGCATCCATGTATACATGTACACAGTGAGTAGAAGTCTGAGAGAGATCCTAAACAAAACTGTTGCTTGACCTCTTTTTGAGAGACTGTTCCAGTTTTGCTAGCTCAGGCTGTTTCAAGTGTGGGATGCCCCTGAAGCAATATGTCCACATCCTCTTGCACTAGAGGCCCACCTTAAAGAGGTTAATTACTACCAGGGAATGTCCTCAGTTAAGGTATGCGCTAGTTCTGGAGTATCCCATGGCTCACTCTATACCCTATCCAAGTTCTTCAAACAATAAACCCTAAAAAGACACTTTCTGCCTGGTTATTGCATGGAGAGACTGAGAAATTGCTGTGTGTCTGTTGGCTGTGCACCCCATAGGGAATAGAACCTGGGACAAACAGCAATATTAGTTTGGGGTCTGTGCTACACTTAAAAATGAAGAGGTTAGGGGAGGTGGGCACTGTCCTAGCCCTGAAGCATCACATTTAAAGGAAGTGTACACTAGTTTGTTCATTGCTTTATTTATTATGGTCAGGATAAAAAAAGAAAGCTTTTTTGGTAAGGTAGATATGAAATATTTTATATTGGTATTTTGCAGCCAAAAGATGCAGCTTTAGGCTTGTTTTTAATTTTTCCAGGCTCTCCACTTGCTTCCTCGATGTGAAAAGGCTGTGGTTTACACACCCCAATCAGGAGATTCTAACCCCTTCTCACCACCGCCTCTCAGCCCTTTAAGAGGTTCTAAATGCCAGGAGGCAAGGTGGGCATTCCGATCATGTGACCGCTGTGATTGGCAGTAACAACGGTCACATGATCATACATCATCGTAAAGCTCCAGATCACAAGTATTGATTGGGAGCTTTCTGATACCTGCCGGTAACTATGCTGCAAGCACGCAGGGCATGTGCTCTCGGCACAGGAAAATACTTACATAGGGGAGAATATATTTGGCCTCTTGGCGTTAAAGCCCCCCCATCAAGATGTTGCATATATGCGTATGGCCTGCGGGAACTGGTTAATAAAGGCTTGATGCCACTTTTCTGGTGGAAGTTTCCTTTAGAACTACCTGTGCAGAATTCAAGCAAACGTTTGAGCCGGTTTCAGTAACATTTCTGAAATGGGTGACAAGATCAGGTTGTTTTAACTACCCACTAATGCTATTGCAGTAACAGACTAACAGATTAAAGAATTATGCCAGTTCATAGGTTAGGAAATTGTTGGTAATTAAGACCACCACTTAAATGGTGTAGAGAGGTATGTCAGAGATATGTATGCAAAGTGGGGCATGTCTTTGCTGGGAAGCTGGGAAGCTGTCATGAATGTGGCAGCTTACTGCACAGTACAGAATCCTGTGCCCCATTCACCTGGGCTGAAAGGTAAATGTAAAATCTCATTACACACATATCAATGCCCATATTTGAGAAATATGAGTGTAAACCACCCTATTTTCTAAAAATAAACACATATGAAGTATTCCAAAGGCAAGTGTTTAGGTTCCAAGACCAATTGGTACACTTGCTGTCATTTTACCAGTGTAGGAAAGGAGAATGTAGCTTCTTTGGGTACCAAAAATAGTTTTGTACAATTTTTGATAGAGTATTCAGGAAAGAAGTAATAGTTGCAACCAGGATCGGACTGACAACTCATGGAGCCCCCGGACAATAGGGGATCATGGGGACCCTGTGTCCTTGCCCAAACTCAAAAAAGCCTATGAAAAAGGTACCAGGGGCATCTCATGGGACCCCCTACCGACCCCAGGCCCTCGGGCAGTGCCCGAGTATCCAAATGGTCAGTCCGCCCCTGGTTGCAACCTACTTGCAGTGTAGCTTCTTTATTAATATATATAAAGTATCTCACAGAAGTGAGTACACCCTTCACATTTTTGTAAATATTTTATTATATCTTTTCGTGTGACAACACTGTAGAAATGACACTTTGCTACAATGTACAGTAGTGAGTGTACAGCTTGTATAACAGTGTAAATTTGCTGTCTCCTCAAAATAACTCAACACACAGCCATTAATATCTAAACCGCTGGCAACAAAAGTGTGTATACCCTAAGTGAAATTGTCCAAATTGGGCCTAATTAGCCATTTTCCTTCCCCAGTATCATGGACTTGTTAGTGTTACAAGGTGTCAGGTGTGAATGGGGAGCAGGTGTGTTAAATTTGGTGTTATCGCTCTCACTCTCTCATACTGGTCACTGGAATTTCAACATGGCACCTCATGGGAAAGAACTCTCTGGGGATCTGAAAAACAAGTACAAAAACAAGTGTGTCTTGCCTACAGTCAAGCATGGTGGTGGGAGTGTCATGGTCTGGGGCTGCACGAGTGCTGCCGGTACTGGGGAGCTACAGTTCATTGAGGGAACCATGAATGCCAACATGTACTGTGACATACTGAAGCAGAGCATGATCCCTTCCCTTCGGAGACTGGGCCACAGGGCAGTATTCCAACATGATAACGACCCTAAGCACACCTCCAAGACAACCACTGGCTTGCTAAAGAAGCTGGGGGTAAAGGTGATGGACTGGCCAAGCATGTCTCCAGACCTAAACCCTATTGAGCATCTGTGAGGCATCCTCAAACAGAAGGTAGAGGAGCACCAGGTCTCTAACATCCACCAGCTCCGTGATGTCGTCATGGAGGAGTGGAAGAGGACTCCAGTGGCACCCTGTGAAGCTCTGGTGAACTTCATGCCCAAGAGGGTTAAGGCAGTGCTGGAAAATAATGGTGGCCACACAAAATATTGACTTTTTTTTTCCAATTTGGACATTTTCACTTAGCGGTGTACACACTTTTGTTGCCAGCGGTTTAGACATTAATGGCTGTGTGTTATTTATTTATTTATTTATTTATTTCAGGTACTTATATAGCGCTGTCAATTTTACGCAGCGCTTTACATATATATTGTACATTCACATCAATCCCTAACCCTCAAGGGTCGTACAATCTAAGGTCCCTAACTCACATTCATACATACACATACTAGGGCCAATTTAGACAGGAACCAATTCACCTACCAGCATGTCTTTGGATTGTGGGAGGAATCTGGAGTACCCGGAGGAAACCCACGCGGGCACAGGGAGAACGTGCAAACTCCAGGCAGGTGGTGCCATGGTGGGGATTCGAACCAACGACCCCAGTACTGCCAGGCGGAAGTGCTAACCATTAGAACCATTTATGTGTTGAATTATTTTGACGGGACAGCAAATCTACACTGTTATACAAGCTGTACACTCACTACTTTACATTGTAGCAAAGTGTCATTTCTTCAGTGTTGTCACACAAGATATAATAAAATATTTCCAAAAATGTGAGGGGTGTACTCACTTCTGTGAGATACTGTACATATATATAGGTATTCTAAGTCATTTTCTGCAGATTTTTACATGTAGGGGAAAGGTGTCAGAATTGGCCCAGTAGGCAAGTAGTTAAATATAGGACTGTAATTTTAGGTGCAGCACAGATGTAGATTTCTGTTAAGGGTTCATGCCAAGGGGAGTTCTAATCAAACACTGTTGTTTATTCAAATGCATGCATCTGCATTCCAATGGAAAAGCAGTTAACAGGAAAAGGATGTGTTTGACCTGCTTTACCTGAAGTTCAATAACACCCTAATATGACATGCTGCATCCAAACAAACGCAGCACAACACAAAGCAGATCAGATGCAGCCTCTGGCACGCTACATATACTGCTCAATTACAGTCAATAAGATTTTGCTGAGCTGCATTTAAGGCAAGTTCCAAATGTTAGCCAAATACTGGAAAATAATGTCTGTCAGCATGAGCCCTTAAAGCAGAACTTATTTGCACAGATTGTCTGCCACTTTTCTTTTTCTCTTTTGTCTCCCCTATTTTCTTTTCTTTTGTTCTTGGGGCGTGTTATTTTGTTCTTGTTTTTGCTTCAATATGTCACACTTTTCTTGTAATACATGCAATGAACTCATTTTTGCTACGACTAAAGCTGACCATACATTATACAATTTTTTTATTCAATTTCCTTTAGATTTACCTTCAACTATGTAGTGCAAGAGCTTGCCTGGTTGCTTACAAATTGAAAGTGTTTAGGTTTGACCTCATATTGTATGGTTTTGGTAAATCTAAAGGAAAATTGTGCAAGAAAATTGTATAATGTATGGCCCTGTTTGGACTGAAATGCATAAGCGTTTAAGCATGCATGGAGTTTTTTTTCCTGTGTCAAATAACAGCTATTTAATGTAAACCTGGGATTGTGTGCCGGTTTCTATTGAATGTTATTATGGGGGACAGGAGGCTTAACTTGGTGCATCAGTAGCTATCACCATTCTCTAAGGACTATAGCGGTGGTGAGTTTTCCTATTAGACATTGGGCTGTTTGTTCAGCCACCATGCCTCCCTCCCAATCACAGCCTGCCTCTGGCACAGATCCCCTCCCAATCACAGCCTGCCTCTGATGCAGACCCCCTCCCAATCACAGCCTGCTTCT